CAGGGAAATGTGGAATCCCAACCAGGGAGGGCAGGGAAACCTGGAATCCCATCCAGGGGTGGGCAGGGAATCCTGGAATCCCACCCAGGAGGAGCAGGGAAACCTGGAATCACACACAGGGAAGCAGGGAAACCTGGAATGTCACCCAGGGAGGGCAGGGAGACCTGGAATCCCATCCAGGGACAGGAGGGAACCTGGAATCCTAACCAAGGAGGGCAGGGAAACCTGGAATCCCACCCTGGAGGAGCAGGGAAACCTGGAATCCCACCCAGGAGGAGCAGGGAAACCTGGAATCCCATCCAAAGAGGGCAGGGAAACCTGGAATGTCACCCAGGGATGGGAGGGAAACCTGGAATGTCACCCAAGGGTGGGCAGGGAAACCTGGAATTCCACCCAGGGAATCCTGGAATCCCATTCAGGGACAGGAGGGAATCTGGAATCCCATCCAGGAGGAGCAGGGAAACCTGGAATGTCACTCAGAAGTGGGCAGGGATACCTGGAATGTCACCCAAGGGTGGTCTGGGAATCCTGGAATCCCACCCAGGGAAATGCTGTGGGGCACAGTTTATGTGTTCTTGGGAATGCTGATCCTTTACCCCCAACCCTGGCCCATGTAGAGGAATCATAAAAATAGGAAAATTCTAAAAATTGTTCTTTTTCCCTCTTCTCTGAGAGAAAATGAGTTCAGTTAAATGTGCCAAATAGTTTTGTGCTGATCCTGAGCCTGCCCAGCTTTTCTTGGGGGTTAAATGCAGGTTGGAGCCTCAGTTTATCAGCCCATGTGGGGCTCTGTCCCTATGGATTATCCCTATGGATAATTCCTTTTTTTTTTCTGGGAGAAGCTGCTTCAAAAAGATYCCAAAAATCAGGTTTTTGGGAGCTTCTCTCAGCTGGGACAAACCTCTCCTGGCACCTGAGGAGAAAATTTTTTTTGCAGAGGCAAAAAAAAATAGGGAAGGTGGATTGTAGGCAAAGATTCTTTGTGGGGTTTGTTGTAGGGAAAAACAGTGCCTTAAATTAGACCAACTTTGGGTTGGGAAGTGGAAAACAACACACYTTGTAGGGAATGAAGAGAAAATTGAGGTTAAATGGAGGGTGAGTAACACAGAGAGGCAGGAATTTGGGATAATGTGGTAGAGAGCTGGATTTCTCCAGAATTTGTGCTCCAGGAGCTCAAATATCAGATCTGAGTTTAAAAGGCCAGATATTCCAGATTTTCCTCCCAAATTTCCTCAGTCAGCACAATTATTAATGATTAAGTATATTTATAATTAAATCGGTTTGGTAACAGCTCTTCCTATTCATTTTGAGGCTCAAACATCCCTTTTTACCCAACTTTGTGTTCCAGGCTCATCCAAAAGTGTGTGAAAAGCTGAAAACTCTGATGGTGGAGTGGTCAGAAGAATTCCAGAAGGACCCACAGTGCAGTTTAATATCTGCAACCATCAAATCCCTGAAGGAAGAAGGGGTCACCTTCCCTGCAGCTGCATCCCAGGTGGGAGCTGCTTTGGGATTTTGGGATCCTTTCCCAAATCCCCATTTCCTGTTTGTCCTGTTCATATCAGGTCTTTGGGATTTGGAGTTTGGTTTTCACTTCTGGGAGTTTACTGAGCCCAATCTAACAGCAGATACAATTTCAGACATTTTTTTCCTAACTTTTACTATTGATGCTTCTAAATATTTTCCCTTTAATCACTCCTGAAAATTAAAGTTACAATTTCTATAACAATTTCCTTACACAAAGTTTACTTTCCTCTGTCTGAAACACTGAAAATTTTTAAACTTTTACAATCCCTGCTTCCTCCACAAAGATGTTTTCACTTCTAAATCTGATCTAAGTGTAAAACATATGGCAGAAGATGGAAGAGTTGGAGCACTGGCACCCAATCCCATTTTCTTGTGGGAATGACAACTCCAGGGATGATTTCACTGTGCTCTTGGGGACTTTTGTAGGATTTAAATCAGCAGCTCCCAACTGGAGCTTCTCTTTGGAAGGGAAGGGTGAAGGATGGAAAGAATCATTTCAATGAGTAGTTGTACTTTAYTAAATATAACTAAAATAATTATTTCAATAAAATCAGTGATTTCAATTATTTATTTTTTTCCCCTGCTGAATACAAAATAAAACCTGATGAGTGGTGATTTTTATTTCTATCATCCAGCTGCCCAGGAGCAGCTTTGTGCTAATTTTTTAAAATATTTAATTATAGAGATTTCATTTTCATTTGTAATCTGCAATTCCTCTTTCACACCTTTGCAGGCTTCCACAAATGCTGCTAAGAATGGCTCCTCATCCAGTAAAACCAAAGAAGATGAGGACATAGCTAAAGGTGAGTTGGTGCTCTCAGCTTTGCTTTAGACTTCAAAAGATTTGTTAAAATCCAGGGAAATGGGAATTTGGGCTCATCCCTCCTGCAGGAATTGAAATCAAGGGTGCAGTGGGTTGGGAATTGTGGCATTCTGGGTGTTTTCCATAAAGATTTGAGTAAAACATTATTCCCCATCACACAGCACTTGAAATATTAACTTTAAACCTTAGAGAAGCATATTTAAACAAAGCAATAAATCCMATTTTTATTAAATTAACACATCAAACCACCTTTATTCACAAGGATAAAACAAAAACCTTGTTCTTTCCTTTGTCCCCCAACTGCAGCTATCGAATTRTCTTTGCAAGAGCAGAAACAGCAGCAAATGGAAACCAAATCCTTGTACCCATCTGCAGAAATCCTCCCCAACCCTCAGAGCCTGAGGAAGGTGCGAGCTCTCTATGACTTTGAAGCTGTCGAGGACAATGAGCTCACCTTTAAAAGTGGAGAAATTATTTTTGTTTTGGATGACAGGTACAATACACTCAGGTGGAGGTGACTTTGCTCCACCACTGCTGTTTTCTCAGGGTAGCATATTTTTTCCTCTGATTCCTTTTTTTTTCCCCCCCCAGAAATGTAATTGTCTCTGTGACCTCTCTCACATCCCTTTCTCTTCCTTTTATCCTGCCATAATACTAGTTTTTGACCTCAAATCATTTTTGGTGTGGGGAAAACCTGGAGTGTTTCATCCAATTTGTTGTTTTGAAGATAAATCTGAATTGGTTGTCCATTAAAAAATTAAAAATAACATTAAAAATGCATTGGCAACAAATTCCAGCCATTTCAGCAATTGTTAAAGCTCTGGCTATCAAGGGCTTAATTGCTGAGAGTAAAACTGATTAAAAATAGCTAAAATAATTAATGTTGTTAGCASCTATAGATATATATACAGCTCTAAATGGCTGTCAGTGTAAAGAATGTAATGAATTTAAAGAATTGATGAATTGTGTGCAGTTTTGAGTGATCCCCTGATTCCTCTTCCTCTTTTCCCTCTGCCCCAGCTCCTGTGTTTGACTCTGCAAATATTCTCTTTTAGATATCACATTGATTAAAAACCCCAAATCTGCCTCTAAATCCCAGATTTTCAGTAAAAAAAACCCCAAACACATCCCTGGCTCTGTTCACCCCAGAATTCTGTAACCCATCTTTATTTCCCCAGCGATGCCAATTGGTGGAAAGGGGAGAACCACAGAGGAGTGGGGCTGTTCCCATCCAATTTTGTGACCTCTGATTTGACTGTGGAGCCTGAAGCAGGTGAGTTACCTGCTGAAATGGGGGATTCTGCCACAAAGGCAGCTTTGTGTGCAACTCCTAATTAACCCAGCAGCAAAATAATTGTCTGCAGCAGCCCCAGGAAAGAACTGAGACACTCCATGGCCTTGTTTCAAACAAAGATCACTCCAAAGCTCTCTTTAATTGCTGCTTCTCTTTTAATTGTTACCATTTTCCTGGTCCARAAATGTGGTTCAATTCCCTGTGATTCCTGGTCAGTGACATTTCACATCCAAACCCAGGGAATTGCCATTTCAAATGTCACCTTTTCACACGGAATAAAAAGGAGCAAATGTGTGTGTGAAATTATCCCAAAAACAGAGAAAAGAAACTGCTCTCTGTTCTTTTAGCAGCTGTGGATAAAATCTCTGCTYCTGAGGACACTGCAGAAGAAATTAAGAAAGCAGAGCCTGAGCCAGTTTATATTGATGAGGTATGGAATCACTTTAGAGATAAAATATTGCTGGGTTTTTACATTCTTTTGGTGCTGAATGCTGGCAGATGATTCTCCTTCTATAAAGAACTTTGATTTGAATATTAAACCAATCTTGGCATAGTTGAGAAATCCAAGTTCTTCATCTTCCCCTTTCAGGATAAGATGGATAAAACCCTGCAGGTACTTCAGAGCATAGATCCAACTGATTTAAAGCTCGATTCTCCAGATCTCCTCGACTCAGAAGGTACTAAATGAGCTCCTTTTTTATGATTTTGTCTCACAATTACCTTTTGTGGATTGAGCTGGGAGTTCTTTGTGTTTATTTTAAGCTGTGGGGAGCTGTGGTCTGTGCTAACAGTGCTGGAGAACACTTACTGCACCGTGGGAGTTTGGGGCTCTGTGGATAATTTGAATTTTTTTAATAGTTCCGAGCCAGCTCCATGTTTAGCAGAACCATTTGCATAACTCCCAGTTCTGTATAAACCATAAAATATAAAAATGCCTGAGCTTTGCAGGATCCATCCACCAATCCCAACCCTGAAATAAATAAGCARTTAATTTTCCTGTAGTTGGACAAAGTAATTTCTGAGTTTTAATTGTGCAAGACATTAACTGCCTCAATCCTTTGYCTTCACAGATATCTGCCAGCAGATGGGTCCAATGATAGATGAAAAACTAGARGAGATAGACAGGTGAGCCTAATTTATTTACTGATTTATTGCAAATTTGGCAATTGTAATAATATTTTTGGGATATTTTTATCTCCCGAGCTAGAAAATCTTGCAGGAAAAATGTGACAACCCATGGTTTATTTTTTAATGCTCAAATATCCAGCGTGTGCACTGAGATCTGATTGCTGCTGTCCAAAACTTAATTTTTATTTTGGCATTTTTTGACTGTGGCCTTTTCCAGCCTGTCCAGAACTTGGAATTTCYAGTCTGCTGGAGGTTTTTCTGTGTTCCCTCTCTGCTCAGATTTGGCTGTCCAGGGCCTGAAGGAGCTGAGCAGAATGACAGAGAGAGATTGGGACAAGGGATAATAATTTAAATTCCTTCCAACCCAAACCATTCCATGGTTCTGTGACTSCTGAGGACATTTGAGGGTAAAAAGAACAAGGAACAACACCTGGGAATTGCTGACCTGGTGGCAGCAGCTCTTGGACTCTTCTTCCAATCACACAACAGCAATTTTTCACTATAAAATGGGTAAAAATAGGTAAAAATGGGTAAAAAAATGGGTAAAAAATGACGTTTTACCTTTGAAAGGCTTTTTTTGTTGCAGCACTGTTCTTTTCTCCCCAYGTGAGATTTAAAGCAGCTCARCATCCTCTCCATTTTTTCCAAACAGGAAACATTCCGAGTTATCTGAACTGAATGTGAAGGTTCTGGAAGCTTTGGAGCTCTATAACAAATTGATGAATGAGAGCCCCATGTACTCAGCCTACTCCAAATTGCAGCATCCTGCACAATTCCCACCCACCTCTTCTGGTGTCTCTGTGCAGGTCAGTACCCCTGGAACCTGCAAATTCCATCTTTTTATCCCCCTTTTACAAAAAAATCATAAAATATAAAAATATATTTAAAAAAAAAATCATAAAATATAAAAATATATTTCAAAAAAAATCATAAAATATAAAAAATAAAACGAGCCTACAGCAATCTGACATTGCCTGGGGGGGATTTTTATAGCCTTTGCAAGAAATTGTGATTTATGCACTGGAACAGAAGGTCTTGCTTGGCCACTGGTGAGAATTCCCAAAGATTGCTGCCATCCTTCATTCCTTGGCATTGGAATTTTGTTCTGCAGGCAGCTTGGTGGATATTCTCACTCTGAGTCACCTCAATCTCCAAGTCAAATGTTCCCTTCTTATCTCATAGTGGGGATGGCAAGGAACTGGAATATCAGTGGATTAATCCCAAGTGGATTTTTTCCTAAATATAGGAACACTCTGCTTTTTTAGCTCCCTTTTTTCCCTTGGAAAAATGAACATTTTGTATCAGTTCTAAACACATTTTATTTGTGCTCCAAACTGTTTTACACCGTCCCTAATGATGGCTTGAGAAAGAAAAACAGAGAGGAAGGAGAGATTTCAAAAAAAGCACAGAATGAGGGTTTTTTACTTGAAGTGAATTTTACTTTAATGTTAATTGTTCAGTGGGAAAAGAATAGTTGCCATGGCAACTGCTGGATCTGAAAATATGTCAGTTAAAAGTAATTCCGTGTCCTTAACTCCCGGTAACGATGGAAAATTCATTATATTTGGAGGTTACAAAGTAATTGAAGCCAAAAGGCAACTGGAGTTTGCTGTTTCCTCYCAAGATTGGTGCAGAGAAATGCAGGATAATCCTGGCTTTATTTGGGACAAAATAGTGCCCATTTATGATCCCAAATCCCAACCCCACGAGCACCCGGATTTTTAGCAAATCTTCAATTATTTAAACCAGAAATTGATAAAAACTGAAGGTTTTTCTTCCCATTTGTGTCACAGCCTTAGGTCAGCTC